CAAGGACTTGGAGAGGAGGCAGACCGCATCCGGCTATGCCGCGTCGACGAAGCCGATGGGCTGCTGACACAGCACCGGCTCGTCGAGGTGCCCATGAAGGAAGGCGTTGGAGACGTCGAGCTGTCGCGTCGGCCATCGGCGCCCGGCAACCAGAGCGAGCACAGTGCGGATCGTCACGGGATTGACCATAGGCGTGAACGTCTCGCCAAAGTTGACGCCGGGGCGCTGTGTAAAGCCGCGAACGACCCACCATGCTTTGTATTGCTCGAGACTGCCGTCGGGATAGAGCTTATGCTTGAACACCCACTTGCCGGTGACGATGTTGGCATGCAGTGGTCGGGGAACTAGTCGCCAGGTGTGGTTCGATTAGATCACGTCGAACTCACGTTGCATCGCCTCGCGCTAGTTCGAATCACGCAGAGCCACGCAGGCGGAACTGGGAATCGAAGAGATGTCGACGGAGGCGGCTGTAGTCGTGGTCATAGCATACCTCGGGTTTGGCTTGAAGATGCTGACCCTGCCCATGTGAGCATGGGATGACGCTGCGCCGCTGGTGAGCTCTGCGGGGTGAGCTCTGCGGTGCCAGTGAACTCGTGGCAGGAGAGCCCCTGCGTCGGTGTCGGTGGTGGAGCCGAGGATGCAGGGAGCGGTGAAGAGGAAGCCGGCGTGGTGTCGTAGTTCCCGTGCGAGGCACCGGAAGCCAGTGGCGTCATGGCGTAGGGCGGGGAAGCAGGCGGCGGCGCAAGTGGCGTTGCAGCCTGCGGCATCGGCGACGAAGAGGTAGCGGCCGATGGTGGTGTAGATGCTGTGCCTAGGACTCGGGTGAGGTAGGAGCGTGCGCGTGTGGCGGTGCAACCTGAGGGCCAGACATGATCACCGTGTCCTCGTCAGGGACGGTAGCAATGGCCGGAGGCGATGAAGACACCGGGTGGGGAGCCTGCGTCAGGAAAGGGAACTGCAACTCGTCGAACACCATGTGCCGAGAAGTGATCACGCGGCGAGTCTCCAGATCGTAGCAGCGGTAGCCCTTGTGATCCGTTGGGTAGCCCAAGAACACGCACGCGATAGAGCGCGGACTGAGCTTGTTGGCGGCTGTGGCGGATTGATTGGGATAGCACAGGCTACCGAAGACGCGAAGATGGTCATAGGTGGGAGGCGTGCCGAGGAGGAGCTCATGGGTTGTGATAGTGCCTATAGCCCGGCAAGGTCGCCGGTTAATAAGATAGGTAGATGTGGTGAGTGCCTCCGCTCAGAACTCGAGCGGCGTGTGCGCGTGAAGAAGCATGGTGTGAACGCTGCCGTTCAGGGTACGCAGTGTGCGCTTCGCCTTGCCATTTTGTGCAGAAGTATACGGGCAAGAGAGGCGGAACGCAATGCTGTTCTCCTGGAAGTACTTGCGGAGAGCAAAGTTATCGAACTCGCGTCAATTGTCAGTTTGGAAACCGAGAATGAACAGCCTGAATTGCCCAGAAACATATGAACAGAATGAACGAAATGTAGGAACCACATCAGATTTGTTCAGTAAAGGAAAAGTCCAGACATAATGGGAGTAGTCATCGATGATCACCAAATAATATTTGTTTCATGATATGCTAGGTACCGAGACGTCCAAACGTCTGAATGAACTAACTAAAAAGGGAAATAGCTACCGACAAAGAGGAGGTAAATGGCAGCCGCACATGCTTTCCAAGCTGGCAAGCATGGCAAGTGTGGGCGGCGGACTTTGTACAGCTGAAGGGAAAGGAGCGTAGAGTGCAGCAAGCTGATCGCGACCTGGGTGTCCCAGCCATTGGTGTGAAAGATCGACCGAGGCAGCGGTGGCATGAAGAGCTTTTGCGTCGGAGGCTGTAGTGGATAGAGATCGCCACGGCTGTTACATAGGAGCTTCACTTGGTGGGTGTGAAGATCCTTTATGGAGAAACCATGAGGATCGAATTCAACCGACACAGTATTGTCATGGGTTAGCGATCGGACAGATACTAAATTCTTGATCAAAGAAGGGGTAACAAGAACATTGCGAAGAGCTAGAGGCGATGCAGAGGTGGGGATAGATGAGGCGGCTAGGTGGGTAACTGGCAAAGATGCACCGTTGGCCACGGTGACAGAAGTAGAAGATGAAAGGGGTTGGATGGAGTGAAGATTACCAGGTGCTGAAGCCATGTGCGAGGAGGCACTCGTATCCAGGAACCAATCGGAGGTGCCAGTGCCAGTGGGAGGGACGCCGGTGTTCGCTGGGGCTGCAAGTAGTGCGTTCGGGTCATAGGTAAGAGACGCTCCGGGGTAGCCTACGTGCGGAGCTAGATGCGGCCCATTAGCGACGAAGGCATGCTGGTTGGGAGTGCCGGGGCACGGGCCGAGGACGCCGGCCGCTGGAGCACGGAAGGGCATCGATCAAGCCTGGACCATGCCTTGCCACGGGTTGAAGCCGACGGCCCATGGTGTGTTGGGAAGGTGGACCGTGGTCCCATGGACGGCGATCCGGTGTTGGCGGGGAAGGATGGCACGCCGCCGCCCTCGCCGCCGCCTGGATCGGTTGCCGCCGGAGTAGGCATTATGACCGGCGGTGTTGCTGAAACCGCTAGCGGCCGGAGGAGGCCCACCGTTGTTGCCGGATCCAGAACCGCCAAGAGGAGGACCGCCAGTCGATGGATCGCCGGTGGCAGGAGGTGGGCGATTACCACCTTGGGCGACCATGGCGTGATGCGCAGCCAGCTTGCCGTGTGGATTCTCGTAGAGCTCCTCCAGCAGCAGGAAAGAGTGGGCGGAGAGGAAGGTGTTCGGTGGCGTTTTGGAGGTGATGGTGGAGATGGTGTGGCAATACTTGCCGTTCAGCCCACGCAGCATGTTCAAGACCTGGGACGGCTCTAGCACCGGCTGTCCGAGGTCGCACAGTGCGTCGGCAAGCTCCTTTAGCTTGGCGGTGTAGTTGGTGATGCTGAGGTCGCCTTGGTACAGGCTGCGGTATTCGGCCTCTAGGTATACGACACGGTGCAACTGGTGATCGCAGAAGTGGTCGACGATGGCGGCCCAGATGGTGTGGGTGGTGGCACCGGGAACACGGATGATGCGCATGACGTCGTGCTTCACGGTGTTGTAGATCCAATTGACCAGGCACTGGTCGACCATGATCCAGTTCGGGTCGGTGCGGTTAGCGGCGGTTGGGGCGGTGGCGATGTGGGATTGGAGGCCGAACTTGCCGACGACGGAATCGAAGAAACACCGCCAGTCGGGATAGTTGGGATTGACGATATCAAGGACCGTCGGAACATGGGATTTGATGTTGATTGTCTGAAGGGAGGATGCAGGAGGAGGTGGCGGTGGTGGCGGCGGCGCCTGGCATTCGCCATAGTCGAATGGGGCGCTGAAAGAAGCAACAGAGGAAGAGGAGGGAGAGGAACCGCCATGGACGGATTGCTCGAACCCGAACAGCGGATTGGTGTCCATGGCGAGCAGTGGAAGAGGAGGTGAGCGCTGGCAATAGGGAATCAAACCGTGCTATCTGATACCATGAAACAGAGTTGGATCAACCTCAGCTTGTATTGATCTCATGTACTCATATTTATACAAGTACAGACTCGGCAACCTCTGCTAGGAAAACTGCCCTACGCGCGGTAGAAGCCCAGCGGCGTAGCGACTAAGCGGAGCGCGTCGCGCGTCGTGCGCAGAGCGGGCGTCGTGCGTGCGCGCGTGTGTTTGACCGATGCGGTCTACATGACGTGTACAACCGTGTACATGACTCCGTTATCAGACGTCACTGATGCCGCTTTGCGTTGGAATATTCGATGGGCATCCATAATTTACATTTTATACTTGTGATGTGACAAGAATACAAGATAGATTCAGCTAATACATGATTTACAAAGATAATTATACGTTACTGATGCCGCTTTGTGTTGCGTTCTTTCCATATGTTCCACGCCGTATACATCATGAAGGCAGCAGTGGTTCTTTTTTGCTTATTATCTAGATACTTTAGGGACATCAGCCACCATTCCTCAATAGATGTACTTGGATTTGTTGGTACCTGAACAGCATTTGTTATCCAAACTCGCATCTTCTCCCAGACTTCACATGCAAAAGGACAGTGAGGCATAGATGCTCGGCTGTTTCCGGCTCTTGGTCACAAAAAGGGCAGATCGGGTTGCATGGCCAGTTTCTTTGCTCCATTTTGTAAGCTGTTAAGATCTTCGATTGGACAAGGAGCCAAGTGAAGAATTGATGCTTCCCTTCTGCATGAGCACGCCACAGGGTTTTTCCATCAAAAGTGTTGTAAGAGCCTGGAACTGAATGAGGTAGGCTGATTTAGTGCTATATTTGACGTCTTGTGTCCACTTCTATGTAATTGTGTCAGGTGCTGAGGTGAACTGAATGTTCTAAACCATGTCCCAAAGCTTGATGCATTCTGCCATCTGTTGCGCCGAAGTCCATGAATCTAGTTGGTGCTTTCCCTTGCAACAGTGAGATTACTGCTGATACTACGCCGCCAGACGAATGATTGGCCGGCCTGTGTCAACCCTTGCTCCGATCCTGCTTTCTAAAACACGGCGGAGGCGTCGCTGTCAGAGCTAAAGATCGCGCTGATGCTCCTAAAAAGAGCGCAGCGCAGTGCTGGTGAGCTCGAGCTTTCTGCCGGTAAATGGACCTAGCTGGACCCTTGGTGGCCTCATCTGGCTCCGCTTTTAACTTTTGCGAGGCGAGGATAAAAGATCCCTCTCTGTGTGGTACTAAAAGTTGACGACAAAAAAATCGGCTAGTTGACCACAATATTGCTAGTTGCTTTTATTCCACAAATATAGTATATTTCTTGATTTACATGCGCACACACGGCTTTCATATACACTTCACAATTATTTTCAGCAACAAAAACATACACGTGCATAAATTTTAAGTATTAAAGTATAGCAAATATATGACACATTCTTGCACCAAGCGTGAACACAAAAACATACCAAATCCAGACTACTAGAGATATCTCCCGGAGATTCGAGGTACATTCCCCATCATGCCCTTGGGATTAGTTGAATTTGATAACCTTGTGGGAACATGATCACTGCCTTGCGGGACACTTCTCCTCCTTTGATTTCCTTCCATCTGCTCAAACAATTTGAATGTATGTCAACATGCTGCAAGCATGCAGAGTGCAAATAAAGCAAATGCACGACAGTCACAAGCCAACAGGTACCTGTACTCCGTTACCAAAATGTGAAGGAAAATGCAATGAATAGTTTGCTAAACTCAGTTGCTGGACATGCCCTTATACCTAACCCAAATGGCACAAAGTTTTTCGATAGTGTGCTTCGCTTTGACTCGTCCTGAGTTTTTTGTTTTTAATCAGTTAATATTTCTAAAGAAAACCAATAGAGAATAATTGCGTACTTGTCACTGACCAGCCACCTCCAAGGGTTAAAGTCAAGTGGATCATCAAAGAAATTGGGATTTAAATGGATTGACATGGGGCTCATCATAACCATCCAGCCGGCTGGAATTGTATAACCTGCATTTGGAAAGGAAAATGTAAAAAAAATATTTGCCTACTATCGTTACACTCAAAGAAAATAACTACGCACTGTAGTATTTTTCAAATTAGTGTTTGGTTGATAAATACACTACTAGAGTCTGTATCCACAACCCATTACTTCAGTATTCCATAGATTCTCCTCAAGGCTCCATGCAAAAAGTCATGAAAAAAATCCCAAAATAAAGTTTCATAAAATGCACAAGAAGTATACCATTCACTTGCACATCTGTTAGGGTTTTCCTAAAAATCCCAGGTGTAACGTTACTCATTCTAGTGAGCTCATTCACAACCTTCATGCAAAACAAACTCATTAAGTTAATATTTGAAAGCATGAAGCGCCATGCATATAACACCGAATGTCCGAATTCTAAACATAATTGCATATATTAGAATTAATTACCAGAGTAGTGAATCTTAGTGACTTGTACTCCTCCCATGTGAACCTAGAATTTGGATTCTCTCTGCTTCTGATTATTTCTTCATGCTCCTCCTAAAGCAATATAGTTTGTATTTGGTGAACGACCAATATAATGTGCCATGTATATGTGTCAAACAAAATTTAGTTTTAATCAAAATCAAACATATTTATATGTACTCAAGTATAATTTGGAAAAAAAATATGTGCACTTATGAATCTATACTATAGTGCTACCTTCAGGTCTTTGAGAACTTTTGGGTTATAGCTGAGGAACTTGAATGCTAATGTGAGGGTGGGTGCCATTGTTACAAAGCTGATGAACAAGAGTGCAACCAATGTATCTATAGCAAATCTTTCATCTATTGTTGTCTTCTCACTCTGTAGTTCCTCAACAATTAGGTCAAGAAGGTCACTGTGCTTTTTCGTTGACGTGCTTAGCCTTTCTCTCAACAGATCCAACATTATCGTTTGCATATTCTTCTGTCCCTATTGAGAAAAACATAAATAGTGAATTGAACATAGCCACCACAAAGGCACAAACTTGAAAGCAGTATGACTGTATGAGTACTTGAGGTTTTGTTTGACCAAAATAACTTCATAGTAATTTTATTATGAAATTTTTACTTCCTAGACATCTATCTTAAGATATTCATAATACATACCTGCATGCATCAGTAAAATCACTACAAAAATGGTGTTGATACATGACGGATTCAATCCGTCACAAAAGCCCCGTAATCCGTCATAGATGGCCATCCGTGACGGATTTTTTTCTGTCATGTATCAGGCGTCACAAATTGACTACGAGCCATCTGTGATGGATTTCGACCGTCATGGATGCCCTGGAAGTCCACTCAGCCCACTCTGGGCCAGGCTGAGCCCGGTAACCTGTGACGAAATTTTCCGTCATAGATAGGCTGCTACGTAGGATTTTTTCGTCACAGATTTGAGTCGCCATGTAAGCAGCCATGTGTTCTCCAAGGTGTACGCTGACGTGTCATCGATGCCACGTAGGATTTAGCCCAGGTGTTTTGTGGCCCAATTCGGGTTTCTAGGAGCTTTCGGCCCTTTATTGTTTTGGGCCAAGATGATTTTTTGGGGCCTTTTTTCGGCCTTTTAGTTTTTTTGGTGGAGTTTTTTTTGGCCTTTTAGTGGTCATGCAGCCCAGTTCAAATTGGGTTGCTTCTAGATTTCAGCCCAGCTCAAATTGGGCTGCTGCTAGATTTAGCAAAATACAAATATTTCATCCATAATTTTAGCAAAATTAATTACCAATCATCATTAATTAACACCAGTTCGCATCATCACTGATTGACAAATGTTTTCATCTTCATTACTTAACACATGTTCTCATCAGATAAATATTCCAGATCACCAAATTACAACTGTCATCACATCTCATATAGCATAATTAAGACCTGTCCACAAGCACATGACAGTAATTAACAGCCAATCTAGCACATGTCCAAGGCATTGGCCACTCCAGCATCAAAGTTTTTGATCACAACAAAAGGAGCTAATAACTAGCTCAGCAGCAGCAAGAGCAGAAATGGTACTTTGCCCACTCACCATAGCCAAGCAGCAGCAGCGTAGAAATGATGCAACAAAAAAGCAACAATGTTGCCAAGAGACCCATACCATCTTACCCAGTTGGCTAGGTGTGTCCAATCTGACTTAACAGGAGGTCAAGTTTTGCATTAGTCTCAGCTTGATTCCTTGCCATCTCCTATTTGTTCGCCAACATTGCTTGCTCAGATTCTTGTAGCTTCTTCGATAACTCTTCCATTTGTGATTTGAGCTCAGCCTTTGCCAACTTCTCTGTAGCTAGTTGCTCTTTAAGTGTGCCTTTCTTTTTGATCTGAATCCCCACATTCTGCAAAAATGTGGTTTTCTTGGTGTTCTCAGCAAGCACACCAGCAACTACCTCAGTCAATGGAAGGGGCCTCTTGTTGACACAAAAACATGGCGATGTGATCAACACACAGCAAGCCGGAAGATCTAAGTGGAACGAGATCAGAGATCTACTTGGCTTCAACACAGAACCAGCCGATTCTGAAAAACCCGACGACGTGCCAGTCAATTTGACCTTAATTGACAAGGAGAGAAAATCTTATCAGTAATTTAAGGTGGAACATTTCCGTGTTACACCAAACAGTTCCAAATGTACGGCTAAATAGCCGATTCAATGAGGCTATCGACTAAATAGTCGATATCCGGCATATCCATAAGAAATGATACAAGAAAGCATCATCGGCTAAATGAAATATGATCAATATAAAGTGTTGAGCTGATAAGTTTGATGAAAAGAGTATAGCATGCGAACAAGTCGACTGTCTAATATAAATGAATCTACAAACATTTTGAATCTAATCTATTATCATCAACAGTGAGGCTCGATCGGATCGATACAGCTATGATAATGATGATAAACTAAAACCAAAGAATCTATAAAACCATCTATATGTCGACAGATTCATAAAAAACATGCTATATGCGTGAAAGTATAGGCAAATCGACTAAAATAGCCGATGCGGCCATAGCAAACAAACAAAGTACATATCCCTATCATGAACAAGACCACTAATCGATAATTTCTAATCTAAAGTTTTACCAGTGAGGTTTAATCGGATCGATGCAGCTATGGTAGTGTCATTAGATTAGATCTCATTAACTAGTAAGTTTATTTAAGATTGAAACATATCTTTGAATACATACTACGTTTGATTAGAATAGAAATAGAACAGCCGATCTAGCGGAATTAAGCCATCAATCATAAAATTTAAAGCGTGATCGGACTAGAAAACGACCAATTAAGATGATATGATGTCGATCTATCTCTATCTCAATCAAGTGATTTGTTATAATTAATAAAAACATTAATTATAACAAGATCGATAACTGATGAATCAACCAAAAGTAACAAGGAAAATCTAACTAATCTCAGCAGATTCGATAACTGGTGATATTGTGTTAAACAACAAATTATCTAACATAAAATCGATAACTTTGATCTATATTATGATTCGTAAGAGATCAATCAACTGATGCAGCCTTACAAACTATGATACAGATTGATAACTAACTTATATTATGGCTCATAAAAGGTCAATCAGCTGATCAGTCGATGCAACCCTGTTTGCCGAAGAACTCACCGAGATCTACAGTACTCCTACTCCTAATGCGATGGCAAAAGCCAGAAAGATTGTATTGATTGTGTGTTTGTCCCTTTTACAATAACCAGAGTCTAATATTTATACCCAGAACCTAAATATGAATCCTACTCAAATACGACTCATTACAATTCTTGGAATAAAAGAAAACTTCCTAACTTAATAATAACTTGGACCCCAATTTTCCTTATTCGTGAAGTCCAACACGTCTCCCTGGTGCCACTCAAGTATAGCCCATTGACGTCGTCTGCTGACGTCATCCATAAAATAGCCGATTCTGACATTACATCTAAATCAGCTGATACCGATTTTCATCCAATCGATTCCCTTGATAACACAATCCTGGAAGCTTCGAGTTCCCGTGTTCTTCTTCCTAAATTTTGGTGTAAACACCTCTTCATCTTCTGCATGTCCGGATACCTTGTTTTCCATTTGATCCTAGTAGTGCAAGTAAAAACACATGGTTCATGAGATACATCAACAGATATTAAGGCTGAGCTTTTTTTTTGAAAATTAACTTACAATAACAAGCTGGACATCTGGTGTGTAGCCTTTTTTACTATAGTGGCACTCCTTGAACATATCCACTGCATCAGGTTCCTCTTTGTATTTCTCTCCCTGTAGAATGGTCACTATTAACTAACATGTATGCAACACTTAATTCAATGTGAAAAAACAAGCAACTTGCATGAGCATGTGATCATCAATAACATGTAATACAGTAAAGATCATATAGAAGCAAAGTGCCATCACATGTGGTCATCAATAACATGTAATACAGTAAAGATCATAAAGAAGCAAAGTGCCATCACATTAACTAGGCATAATTACACATCCCATTAGTCAGCCATCCAATTTGTATCCTACATTTCTGCCTTTTTGTTGCAAGTTACATATACTTCTGAAATCTTTAATACAAACCAAGTAGCATAATTCTCAAAACATATGTGCAAGATGTAGTAACTTACCAAATTTTCCAAATGCACCATGTAGCTGCGTGAGCCAGTTGTTTGATGGTACTTGACCTTGCTTCAGTTGGTTTTGTTCAGTTCAGAGTTCTCCTACACCATGAACAGGATCCATGTTCAATAGGCATCTAAGTTAGCATATAGGAGGCAAACTTTTAGCACAAAACATATCATTTTTTTGTAGTTGCCCATGATTCAACAAGTTCATTCCACTGTGTATCAGTCATACTTTTGAGAGGAGAAGTATTTCTTACCAAATGGAGCCGGAAAGGATTAAAGTACATCCTCTTCAGATGATAGCGATGTTGGCAAACTGCTTTCTTCATCATTTGGGCACAAGCAAATTTAACATGAGCAGAATGTATGTCGATATCAAACTTTGCCTATTCAAATCAAAGAACACAAGAGTATTAGCAAGGGAGCAACTCTAGACTATTCGTTAATGTTAAGGGAGCAGCTCTAGCAAAGATATTTTTGGAGTAGGCTAATAGTCCATAAAAATAGGGTAGGTGTCCCGTTAGGCATTGTACATGGTGTTTCTAAAACAATTAAATGAGCTTGCTACAAAATTTGGTGGATAGATAACTATTAGTAATGTTGCAGCTATTGTAATCTTCATAGATAACTATTCAAATCAAATAAAAGAATTAAATGAACTTGCTCTACCAAACCTAATTTTAAATCTTCATAGATAAGTATTCAAATCAAAGAACAGATTGGTAAGGGAACATAAGAGTATTAGTAAGGTTGCAGCTATTGTAGAAGTACTTAGCTAGATAACAGTAAACAAGGATTACTATAACAATGAATCTGAATGTCTATAAATTAACATATTAGTAGGCATTAAAGCTGCAATGGCATTGGATAGGGACTTACAGCTACTTCCCCCCTAAACATTTTGTGGATCACAGTCTAGTCTGATTCTTGTAGTCCTTCCATTTGGGAAACACAGGCACATGGTTCCTCACTATTATGTTGCATTTAGTTGCAAACTTTACAGCAACAATAGGCTGTACCGGCCTTATGTCCCCTTCTTTGATGACCACCAGCAATTTCTCACGCCGAGATCAGGACATCCTTTGCAGAGCTGCTCCTTTATTATCCCCCCTGATCCATGGTTCCTCTTCTGGGTGTACATGTACAAATAATTATAACTAGTGAGCTGAAAATAAACTTGATTTGACAATTAATAATACAATAAACTATTGAACTGAAACAACAGGGCTAAGAGGATTAGGGTGCAATAACATGCCTTCACAGTCTATGTCCATTTTAGTTTCACCTTCAAGCTGGGCATTACCATCATCTTCGCTGGCCACCAGGTTGTCCCCATGAGTTTGGGTTATAC